GAAGTGGGGTGGAGGAGAGCACAGGAGAATGTTCTGGTTAGAGAGAATAGTAGGTACAAAGGTTTGGATTAGTGTATTTTAACAACTGGGAGAAGCTTCTAGGGCCTGGAGCACAGAGTGTGTTGTGGGGGCCAGAAGGGTAGGAAGGTGTGTTCTAGTCTAGGGAGAGTAGGTGGGGAGCCGCCGAGGGGTTCTGAGCTGGGGGAGACAGGATCAGACTCGTGTTTTGGAAGGACTCAGCCTACTCTTGAGTGGATAGATGGGGGCAAGACCGGAGTCTAAAGACCAGTTAAAAGATGCTCAACATCAGTAGTTATCAGGGAAATAGAAGTCAAATCCACAATGATATTCCACTTCACACACACTAGGATGGATATAACAACAAAAATTACAGCAAATAATAAATGTTGGTGAGGAGGTGGAGACGCTGGGATGCCTGGGCACTGCTGGTGGGAATGCAAAATAGTGCGGCCCCTGTGGAAAACAGCTTGGCAGTTCCTTCAAAAGTTAAACACAGAATTACCACCTAACCTAGCAATTCCACTCCTAGGTATACACCTGAGAGAACTGAAAAGAGAGCCTCGGACAGATTTTTGCGCACCAATGTTCCTAGTAAGCATCATTCACAATAGCCAAAAGGTACAAACAACCCAAGCGTCATCAACGGATGGATGGACAAAGGAAATGTGGTCTACGCACACCATGACCCTTGGTCGCCACTACAAAGGAATGAAGTACTGATTCATGCAACAACATGGATGAGCCTTGAAAACCTTACCCTGAGTGAAAGAAGCCAGGCGCAAAGTTCCACTTACGCGAAATATCCAGGATCGGCAAAGCCCTAGAGACCGAGAGCAGACTGGTGGTTGCCAGGGGCTGAGGGGTGGGGGGGTGACTCCTTAATGGGGTCTCCTTTTGGAGCGATCTGCAACTGGAGTGGTGATGGGCACACAACACTGTGGATGTACGTAATGTAACTGAATCATACACTTTGAAATGGTTAAAGTGGTCAATTTTATGGGTATTCTACCACAATAAAGAAAGGAAAACTGTCATTGTGTCGCGAGTGAGAGGCGTCGCGAGTTCCCACAGCGTTTTTCCTTCTTCATCCAGCAAACACCGGGCAGTTTAGCTGGTGGTTTTCGTAACCTTTGCTCCCCAGGAGAAGAGCGCGCCAGCCGCCGGGCGGCCCTACCCGCCCCCGGACACCCTGGCCCCCCCAGTGGCAGCTTGGGGCGGGCAGGAGCGGGCGGACGCAGCAGTACCCGGCGGGCAAACCCTGAGGCCGGAGCCGGAACTCTCAGACCTGGACCTCCACGTCGGCCTCCAGGGCTTGATCTGGGGGGCGGAGCGCCCTCCGGTGGGCGCTGGGCGAGCGATCAGGGGCTGAGACTGCGCTCCGAGGCCGGCGCGGGGCGCGGTGGTCGTGCTCCTCGGCGGCTCCCCAAGCCCGGGAATCCCGGCTCTTTCGGCACTGGGGCCTCCCCGGGAATTCACCCGGGGAATGACGACGTCCGACGTCGATGGGAGTGGGTGAGCCGTCGAAGCCACAGGCACGAGACACTTCTCGATTCAGTAACAGGGCCCGCCGGCCTGGAGTTAAGGGGCCGGGGCCCGCCTCGCCCAGGGAGCCCCCCGCCCCCGGCTCTGTGGTAGAACAACCCGCGGGGAGCGCTGGCAGCTGGTGGAGGTCGCGGTCGCGGTCGCGGTCGCGGTCGCGGTCGCGGCCGGGGCTGGGGCTGAGGCGACCGCGGGGCAGCGAGGGGGCTGGGCGGAGGCGGGGAGCCGGCGGGGGGCAGGGGCACGGCCCCGGGCTGGGCCCCCGCCCCCGCCCCCGCCCCCGCCCCCCCGTGCCCCGCCGCGGCTCGCCGCTCCCTGGCCGCGGGGCTGGCCGGCCGCTCCTGCGAGCCCCTCCCGGGCGAGCGCGGCTGCGCAGGCGGCTCCCTCCCCGGGGTGCCTCCCCCTCAGCCACCTCAGCCGCGGCCCCGCTGCAGAACGCTCCGGTTCTCTGGAACGCAGTCCCGTTTCCGCCCTCGACGCCCCTTACCTGCCGAGGCATCTTTGGGCAACACCCCGCCCTCCGGCCCCGGGCCCGCGGGCAACCGGCCCCTCCTCGCCGGCTTCACCGGGCGCCCCCTCGGGCTTCCAGGCGGCGCCTCTGAGACTTGCCGGGGGCGGGGGGACGCCGGACCGAGGGCCACCTGGAAAGCCTGCAAGGCGCCGGCGCAGCGTTCTAGGGGTCCCCGGCCCGCGTGCACCCCACCCCCACCGCGGCTGCCGTGTGCTCAAGGGGCAGCCCGGGCTCGAGGCCGGGGGGGGGGGGGCGGGGAGCCCCCCGCGGCGGCCCCCACGGCGGCGGGCCTGGGCTTCCCGCGCCCTGCAGGGAGGGACGCGGCCGCCGGGGGCAGCAGGGCGCCGAGGCGGGCGGCCGGCGCCTGCTAATGGCTTCTCGCGCCCGGGAGCAGGTCGCGGGCCCCGCGCGCACAGGCCCGACGCCCCTGCCCTCCTCGCACCGAGGCTGACGGGGCGCGGGGGCGAGAGCGCGCGCCCAGCCGCCGGGACTGAGGCGGCCGCAGACGGCGGCCAGCTGCCCCCCACGCGGCGCCGCGGCCCGGGCGCCCGGGATCCGGAGCCTCGGGTCCCCACCCCGGGAGCATGCGGGCCAAGGGCGGGTGGCCCAACTGCCCCTTACCGTGGCGGGCTGGAGGAAACGGGCCGGGCAGCGCGGGGGCCCGGGGGCTGGGCCTCGGCCGAGCGCGGGGGTTCCAGGAGCCGGCGCGGCCGCAGGTCACACCGCCCGACCACCGGGGCCACCGGGCCCGCGCGCCGCAAGGAGCAGGGAGCGCTGGAGCAGCAGGGAGGCTCGGGTCGCCGGCAGCCCGAGGCCCGGCGCAGGAGCCCGGGCCCAGCAGAGCGGGCTCGGCCCCAGGGCTGGAGCCCCGGCAGCCCTGGGACGTGCTGGATTTGCTGGGGACCACGTGGTCTGTGCGGCGACCCCGCCTGAGCTGGGGGAAGGGGCTGTAGGGAGCGCTCAGCCCGAGGACTAGGGACGCGGGGAGGCCACGGTTAGCCTCATCTCGGCTTCCCCAGCACGGTCGACCTGGGCCTGTGGGAGGGGGTGTCCTCAGGTCCCTATCAAGAGACAGGGTAGCACACAGTGGGGCTGTGGTCTGCCGACTGTGGGGTCCGCGGAGGCAGGCTGGGTCCAGAGGCCTCTTCTCACAACCCCTAGCCCTAGTGTCAGGAGGAGGGGGATGCCAGCCCAGGGGTAGCTGTGCTGGGCCTCTTGCTCCCCCAGATGACACTGGAGCCTCGTCCTGCTTTGGCCTTTCTCCCCAGGCTGTCCCCTGACCTGCTGGGTGCCTGTGGGCAGCCACATATACCGCTGACCTGGACAGGCCAATTGCCTCCTTACCTGCATGGGACAGGACCAGATGTTCTCTGAGGGCCCCTTCCAGTGTGACAGGCTGGGCCGGAAGGGTGTGCTAACTGGGCTAAGGGAGAAAGACTATTTAATCCTGGCCCTTCCAGACCCACAGCTCCAGTTCAGAAAAATAGAAGAGCTTTTGTGAGGGAACAGAAGTCTCTGGTGCCATGGCTCCTTTGTTCCTGGTAAGGCTTCCATTGGACCCAAGCAGCTCTGCACTGGAGTAATGAGCACTGAGGATATAAGATGGTAGGACTACTGGGATGATGGAGCCATGTGACTTCATGAGGCTCTGCAGGTATCTTTCTTCTTCCTCTTGTCCTCAGGATCTGAACAGAGGACCTGTCCTGGACAGTAATAAACCTAGAGAGAGAAAATCCTCAGAGACCATCTGGTGGGAAGGGCCTGGAGTTCCAGGACCAGCCCCCACCCTGCACTGACAAGAGCCTGAGACCCAGAGAGATTGTGGTCACACAGGACACTGGTAGCAGATCCCAGACAGTAGGTTCTGTCCTTAGTGGCTCTTGACCCTCCTAGAATCCCTGCCTTGGTCTTGCCATGGCACAGAAACTGCCAGACCCTGCCAGGAGCCAGGACTGTGTAGACCCAGCTAGTGGCTGTTCATGAACCAGGATGATTTGGGGAGTGCTGTACCCTTCCCACCTGGGTAAAAGACCACATTAGCAGCTGATTTGCTGTGTGACCAGAGGTAGTGCCATCCATCTTTGGGCCTGTTTCTTAAGTAAATTAAGGACTTGGACACCATGACCTGGGGCACTTTGGTCTTAGGGTATTATCTGGAACTGCCCAGAGGAGTAGGGTCAGATAGGGGGAAAAAAGCCCATGCTCCTTCCTGTGTTCTGGGAGCTCCAGGGTCTGGCCTCTACTCATGCTCAGCTCCCAGGAGCCTGGGGGCAGAGAGCAGTGGGACTTCCACACAGTGGCATCCCCAGGATGATGCTCTGCTGAGGTCCTACAGCACATCGTTGGCTTTCTAACAGGAATGGTTCTTTTGAAATACACAAGACAGCACCCTTAGCCAACAATGTCTGCTCAAGCTACAGAACATGCAGGACCAAGTGTTAGTGGCCTATGGGGGTGGGGCGTACAGCCTCTGTGTACATAGGGTACATTGTATGTGTCTGTGTATGATTATGTGTGTGTTTATGGGATGGTCTGTGGAAGAGAGGTCTGAAGGCTCCCTGTGTATGACTGTGTGCAGGTTTCATTTTCACTCCTTAGAGGACTGAGACTGAACATCTCTTACTTTATTAGTCATCTTGATATTTTAAAAACTGCCTGTTAATGTCATTTGGGGAGGGGTCTATTAGATTACATAACTTTCTCTTGATTGTAAGACCTATCTTTATTAAATATCTATATCGCAAATCTTACAAAGGTATTTCCACTTTTTGTGCTTTATTTTTAATTTCATTTGGGATTGTTAAGAACATAAATATGTAATTTTGAAAAGTCACTGTATTGGTATTTTCCCTTATGGTTGGTTTCTAGCTTTCATATGATGCTTAAGAAAGGTTATCTCCCTTCCATGAAAATAAAAAGCTTACTCATATTTTCTTTCTAAGGAAATCTTTATTATTTATCCTCTTTACAAAAGTGATGCATGCTTGGCGTCAAAAGTGAAAGGGAAGTAAATTTAGGTAAAGTGACTATCTTCATGAATTATCCTATCCAAGAACAAGGTTTCTTTCTTTTCCCCATATACTTTTCCTTTTGTGGCTCCCAGTGTGGAGATTTCTTCCTCCATATAGATCCTGTGTAAAAATTAAGTTTATACCTAGGAGATCCATTTTTCTTGATGCTATTAGGAATGGGATTTTTCATCATATTTTCTAACTTGTTGGTATAAGACAAGCTATTTATTTTTAGATGTTACTTTTTAACCAGTCATCATTCTTGATTCTTAAAGATGGAAAATGCCATATTCATTTCCCTCAGTTTCCCATCAGGGTGAATCTGATGAAACTTGATCCATTTCATTAATCTTGAGAGTTTTCTAAGAAATATCCTTCTCATTAGGATTTGCCTTCACTATGGACACTCTGATGCTGACTAAGTTGGAAGGTAAACCTGAAGGCTTTCCCACACACATTACACAAGTAAGGTTTCTTCCAAGTATGGACAGTCTGATGTATAATGCAGTCAGAACTATAGCTAAACCCTTTGCCACACTCCACACATCTAAAGGGTTTCTCCCCAGTGTGGCTTCTCTGATGCCGAATTAAATGGGCATTAACATGGAAGGCTTTTCCACACTCCTTACATTGAAAGGGTTTCTCTCCAGTATGGATCCTCTGATGTACAATGTAGTCAGAACTACAGCTAAATGCTTTTTCACATTCCATACATTTGAAAGGTTTCTCCCCAGTATGTATTCTCTGATGCCTAGTTAGTTTGGCATTGATACTGAAGGCTTTCCCACATTCCTTACATTGATAAGGCTTTTCTCCAGTATGGATTCGGTGATGATCAAGGAGGTTTCTTTTAGAAGTAAAGCATTTCCCACACTCCTTACATTCAAAAGGTTTCTCCCCAGTGTGAATCCTCTGATGCTGCATTAATTTTGCATTAACATTGAAGGCCTTTCCACACTCATTACACTCATAGGGCTTCTCCCCAGTGTGGATTCTCAGATGCTGCCGTAGCTGGGAATTACACCTGAAAGCTTTCCCACATTCGTTACACTCATAAGGTTTCTCACCCGTGTGGATTCTCTGGTGCTGGATTAACTTCCCTTTGACACTAAAGGCTTTCCCACATTCAGTACACTCATAGGGTTTCTCACCTGTGTGGATTCTTTGATGCTGAATGAGTTTTGCATTATTACTAAAGGCTTTCCCGCACTCTTTACACTGATAGGGCTTCTCCCCAGTGTGGATGCTCTGATGCTGCCGCAGCTGGGAGCTGCACCTAAAGCCTTTCCCACATTCATTACACTCATAAGGTTTCTCTCCAGTGTGGATTCTTTGATGTTGAATTAATTTTGCATTAACATTGAAAGCTTTCCCACAGTCATTGCATTCATAAGGCTTCTCTCCAGTGTGGACTCTCTGATGTGTGATGTATGCAGAACTGCAGCTGAAGCCGTTTCCACATTCCTTGCACTGATAGGGCTTCTCTCCTGTATGGATTCTCTGATGCCGACTTAGACTCCCATTAACACTGAAAGCTTTCCCACACACCTTACACTGATAGGGCTTCTCCCCACTGTGGATTGTCTGATGTGTGATATAATGGGAACTGTAACTGAAGCTTTTCCCACATTCCACACATTTGAAAGGTTTCTCCCCACTATGAAGTCTTTGATGCCAAATTAATTTTGCATTAATGCTAAAGACTTTGCCACACTCCTTACACTGATAGGGCTTCTCCCCAGTGTAGCCATCTTGATGCTGAGAGTTACACCTGAAGGTTTCTACTAATTCTTCACATTTAAAAGGTCTTTCCCCAGAATTAATTATTTCATGCTGAAGAAGTTTTGTGTCAAAGCTGAAGGCTCTCTCCAATGCTATACGTTCAGGGGGCTGTTCTCTAGGGGTGACGGTGTGACATTGATCCAACTTTGAACTCTGACTAAAGAAACACTCCTCTATGGAGCTGGTGTCGTCTTTCACTGTTCCATCAATGACACTGCTGTTTTCTTTCTTCATGCTTCCAACTAAATGGACTTCCTGCTGTTTCTCTAGAATACAAGGTTCTGAAAAGTCTGTTTCCTGGGAAAAGTCCCTCTGAAGTTCAAATGATGTACTATGTTTTTCTTCATACATTTCTTTTGTCAAATTATTGTCAGTCTGGATATCAATATCTACTATAAAAAAAAAAACAGAAAACAGAAAAAGGTCATGTAAGAACCATGTTAGAAAAAAGAAAAGAACTGTGGTCAAAAGAATAAAGAATCATATTTAACCAAAGGTCTCTTGAAAATTGCCAAACTCGACCAAAGAATCTAAGGTTCATCCATAAGGTGGAATAATATGTAGCTGGTAAAAAAAAAAAAAGAAAGAAAAGAAAAGAATCCATATATGCTGAACCAAAAAGATGTCTATGATACACTGTTAAATGGAAAAGCAAGCAGAGAAATGGATGTAAGGTAGATTTGTCTGTATAAAGGAAAAATAAAATAGGTCATTATATACTTATATATTTGTTTGTGTATGGCTAGAAAACTGGAAGAATACACAAGAAACTGAGCAAATTGGTACAGGAAATTTGCGAGACTTTTTTCTACAATATGCTTTATACACTTTCTGTATAGTTCTGAGCATGAATGATTTATAAAGGTTATCAACCTCTATGCAAATAACCAAAACAAAATGGTTAAATGTGACAGCAATGGAAGAAAATCCTGGGTTTTATCCACCAGATGAGCATTCTTCCTATCACACCACACCTTAATATACTCAGCAGTTTCGTCTCAGCTATCCTTGTGTCCCTAAGTCCCTTGTTGATATCAATGGAAACTGCTCAAGAAGAAAAAGCACAGGATCCAACAACATGTAGCAACACTGAAGATGGCAAGAGTTTGCAGCACCAGGAGGTGAAAGGGAGAGAACTTGCTTTTCTTGGAACTTAAACTCTTGGCTTTCCAAAATTTCTCCTTCACCTTCTTTTTTCTCTGCTTAGAGAAGGAGGCTTTAGGCTCTCTTGATTCTTCAATCCATCTCTTCCCAACCCTCTAGAACACTGCTGCATTCTCCTTGCCTTTCCTTCTTCCTCTTCCTTCAATCCTGAAAGTCATCAGTCCCTGTTTTTTTTGTTGTTGTTGTTGTTGTTGTTTTTTAAGATTTAATCAATTCATTAGAGAGAGAAAGCACACAAGCAGGGGGAGAGACAGGGGGAGAGGCAGAAGGAGGCTTCCCACTGAGCAGGGAGCCCAATCGCAGGATCCTGAGATCATGACCTGAGCCAAAGAAGACGCTTAACCAACTGAGCCACCCAGGTGCCCCATCCCTAACATTCTTTCTGGAATCCTTATAGTCCCAGTAGGGAGCTAGGTATCTGCTCCCAAATTTCTCAAAATTGCCCTCAAAATGCTGCCTCTATTTTTCTTCTCCCATCTCTCCTCAACCACATGTAGTAAGTCACCTCAAGAGACCCAAATGACCTGAATTTCCCTAGCAAGCATTTTCAAAACACTGGTTGGTCTTTACCCAATATCAGAAACGTGCAAAGAAAATTCAAGTTACGTGAAATACAACCATCTAACAACCACATCTAATCTTCTGATGTATCTCCTCCCCCAATCATTTTCCTTCCAGTTTTCTAAAAAAAATTTTGAAAGATTTTACTTATTTATCTGAGAGAGAGAGAGGGAGAAGCAGGCTCCCCAAGGAGCAGGGAACTCAATGCGAGACTTGGCCCCAGGACCCTTGGGATCATGACTGGAGCCGAAAGCAGACACTTAACTGACTGATCCACCCAGGTGCCCCTAAAAATGTTTTCAAAATTGAAAATATTTTTCTTTCTTAACATTAATAATGACAATTTTCCAGTATCTTTAGATATTCTGTAAAAATATTTTTTAAATTGCTAAATAGCGCTCCATCCTGCAGAGGTATTTTATTTTCACCAATTCTCTGTATACTGAATTCCCACATTTAATTATATAAAATTATGATCAACTCTTGTGCATTTACATCTTTGTCTGTATCTGATTACTTTATTAGGATACTCTAAGAAGGAATATCCAGACTATCAAGGACAAACTTTTAAAAGGCCCTCGAGAAGTATTTTCTAGAAAGACTACTGATCCACATTCATCTCCAAAAGTCTATTCCAGTTTGATTTACTGTTCTAGTATGAACTAGGGAAACTGAAGGAACTCCATGAAAAACTGCTTTTTGCTTATTTTCCTGCTTCTATTCTTGCTAGGACCTGTACCGTTGCCTTGTCTATGTCTTATAGTATAAATGATATCTGTTTTTCTTATAAGGGTCAAGAGGTTAAGGAGTTTTTGGCGTCTTCCAGCACAGGTGATAACATCTAAGGAATGACCAAGCAAGGCCATCATGTACATTTTCTAGACCATTGACTCTGGACATCTTAATACCCAAACCTCCTGACTCCAGGGAATAAGTGCTTTATGGAGGACACCTGAACACTTGTCTTTATTCTGACCAGTTCCTGGGTGCCTGAAGAGGACATGTACACCAGACTGTAATCCTCAATAAAAACCAAAGACCCCGAACAAATGAGATATTCACTTTCTTTTCCTTTCTGAGGCTCCCAGACACTCCATCTGCTATACTCTATCATTTATGCTATTCAATAAACTCCTCTCTCTTCCTCCTGGCTCACATTTGATTTCTATCCTGTTCAAAGCCAAGGACCCTCATGGTGGGTCCTGCAAGACCCCCTTGGGTCCTTGGACCCAGCCTGTCTATGTCAAATATGTTAGGTGAAACATCTCTGTTTTAATTTATATTTCATTGGTTTTACTGAGGGTGAAGATTTTTCATATTGATTAAAATATGTACTTCTGGGGATCCCTCGATGGCTCGGCGGTTTGGTGCCTGCCTTTGGCCCAGGGCATAGTCCTGGGGGCCTGGGAACGGGTCGCATATTGGGCTCCCTACGTGGAGCCTGCTTCTCTCTCTGCCTGTGTCTCTGCCTCTCTGTGTGTGTCTCTCATGAATAAATGGATAAAATCTTTAAAATAAAATAATAAAATAAAATATGAAATAAAATATAAAATAAAATATAAAATAAATTAAAATATAAAATAAAATAAATAAAATAAAATAAAATAAGTACTTCTTATGTGGGTCACTTAAAATATGCTTTGACAATTTTTCTGTACTAGTGACCTTCAATTTACCAAATCCTACAATGTGGCAGATGCTACCAGTTACTTAACCAATATCCAATCTCCCTTTCATCCTTAATAGTATATCCTCCAATTTTTTTGAGGTAGCAATAAAAACTAGATAAAAACTATATTTTTCCACCCTCTCTTGCAGTGGTGGGGGGGCATAAGACAGTTTCAGCAAATGAGATTTAAATAGAAGTCATTGGGTGGGCCTTGTAAAAGTTTTTTTTTTTTTTTTTAAGATTTTATTTATTTATTCATGAGAGACAGAGAGAGAATGGCAGAGACACAGGCAGAGGGAGAAGCAGGCTCCATGCAGGGAGCCTGATGTGGTACTTGATCCCAGGACTCTAGGATCACGCCCCGAGCCAGAAGACAGATGCTTAACTGCTGAGCCACCCAAGCGTCCCAGTTTTTTAAGAGAGTCAACTCTGCTGATGTGGGCCTTGTGCCCTTTACCTACTTTCCCCTTCTGTCTGCCTTAAAGCCATTTGATTCCTCACTTCAGTTAACCTACACACACCAATAAATGTTTTCATTCTTAGCTAAGATCATGATGGGTTATTTGAAAACTTTAAAGACTTCAGGATTATCTGCTGCTTATGGAATGAAATTCAGACTCCTTTTTTTTAAAAAAAAAGATTTTATTTATTTATTCATGAGAGAGAGAGAAAAGCAGAGACACAGGCAGAGGAAGAAGCAGGCTCCATGCAGGGGGCCTAATGTGGGACTCGATCCTGGGACTCCAGGCTCATGCCCTGGGCCAAAGGCAGGCACTAAACTGCTGAGCCACCCAGGGATCCCTTAAATCCAGACTCCTTTGAGGTCCACAACATCATCTCTTTTCCCTTAAACTTTTCAATTTGCAAAATATGTCCTCCTTGGTCAGGGATCATCTGGTTGAATGACCACAAGGAACAAAAATCCACTGAAACTATCTTTTTAAGAAGGAGGATTCACTGAAAAGATACATGACAATCTATGGACGACAAATGCAGGAAGTAAATGGAAAATCATCTGGCAACTACTCTGCTTAAGCCAACAAGAAGCTTGCTACTTCAAGTATGGTCTGGGAACCAGAAACATTGGCAGAACCTGAGAATTAATAGAATTGCAGAATCTTGGCTCTATGCCAGACTTACTAAATGACAATATATATATCTGCAAGACACCCCAGTGATTCATTTGCACATCATTTGAGAAGCACTGAATTGAGAGCACTTTCTCCCTTCTGCCTTATTTCCCACATCTTACTATATACAGTGGTCTCCTCAAAAAAAATAAAAAATAAATAAAAATAAAAACTAATACTTCACTGAGCATACACAATAAGTTAGACACTTAATATGTATTATCTCATATAATCCTCAACCCACAAGACCAGCACTATTCCATCACTTTATTATTCTATTTTCAGAGATAAAAACACTGAACCTTGGAGAACTCAAATAACTGACCTGCTCAAAGTCACAACTAGGAAGTCATATAACTAGTAATAGTAGTTGGGACTGGAGCTCAGGGAAGTCTACTCCAAAGACTATACTTTTAACTGCCAGGCTATTCTCCCTTTCTGTATAAAAAAACCTGTTAATTCTCCATCTATCACATTAACTATACAATGCTTAGGAAGTAGCAAGGACCCCAAAACACCACATTCATTCATTTCATCTGAGAAAGGTAGAATTCCAAAATTAGGACTGGGATGAATTAGAATGAAGCATTTGAAAAAAGGTCTGTTCTTAGATTTAGAAATAGCAAACTACAAAAATAATCAAGTCTCAACTATACCTATCTCTATAAATCATCAACGTTTATTTTAATTTTACTGTGTACAGCTGGCTCATAAATACGGCATGCTTATATGCTAAAGTTGACTTCTTAAAGAGTTAAACTCTCCCCCGTAAAAAACAGCCTGTGTGTCCCTTACCAGTCCAGAGGCCCTGGGGGTCTATTTCTGTTCCAGCTGCCAGCGGAGATGGGCTTTCCAACTCACCTGCTCCCTCCAGTTGTGAGATCACAGCAGGTTTGAGAAGCGAAAATCCTGTTAAGGGGAAAAGAAATAGGAGAGACAGGTGAATAATCTCCCACAGATGAGTTTTAAGCATCTCCTCAGGCTGTCCTTGGCAACGGGAAGGCAAAATAAGAGCACTAGGGAATCCCATGCCTAAGGACTATGGGAAAGTGAGGGGGTGGGGGGTTAAGTGGAAAGACGGGGGTTTGGAAGGTATATGTGTTTGGAGGGTGCCTGAAGTGTGAGAGTTGGGAATGGCCCAGACTTGGGCCCAGAAGACCTAAGATATGCAGGTTGGGTAAAGGTGAACCTGAAGATAATACTGTGTGTGCAGCAATAAGTTTCTTTTTTCCTCGGTGTCCAAACCACAACTTCTAGAGGATGGATAAAGAGTGCACACCAGTCCCCAGCAAAGTCCTATACTGGCCCCAAAAGGGCTTGAAGTTCACCCTTCCCAGCAACCCTTGACACAAGGGGTATTAGGAATCTCAGCCTCTGGGGTTCCCACTCAGTAAAGGATTACCAGAGACCCCATCTCCAACCTGTTAGGGGGCTATAAGCCAGGAAACCCCAACTGGCAGAGTCCAGGTCCCAGGGGGAGAGAGGCCTTACCCAAGGAGGCCACATTCCCATAATTCTCCAGCATCACGTCCCTGTACAGGGCCCTCTGTGCAGGGGACAGGCCATCCCATTCCGTCTGGGTGAAGTACACAGCCACGTCCTCGAAGGTCACCGACTTCTGAAACAACAGGTTCCTGCTGCCCTAGGGCCAATTCCATGGCTCAGGCCCTAAGTGAGGGGCAGAGGGTAGTATAAGGGCTTGGGGAGGGAGCTCGTGAATAGTACAGAATTATTTTTTTTAATTTTTATTTATTTATGATAGTCACAAAGAGAGAGAGAGAAAGAGGAAGAGACACAGGCAGAGGGAGAAGCAGGCTCCATGCACCGGGAACCCGATATGGGATTCGATCCCGGGTCTCCAGGATCACGCCCTGGGCCAAAGGCAGGCGCCAAACCGCTGCGCCACCCAGGGATCCCCAATAGTACAAAATTAATAACAAGGGGAAAGGTTAGAGAAATAGCACCTGGAAAGTAAACAATGGAGAGTATCTGACTTCTCTCACGGCAGGGAAACCTCATGCCGTATTTTACATTTATAAAAGATATCCAAAAAAAACAATTCCCATAATCAAGTTTCCCCAAAGTAACTCCATTCTTTCAGTAAAACCACATCCTCAGTGGCAGATGCAGCTCAGGACCAAGCCACCAGCATTCCCCCTTGAGACGGCTCCTCCATCCTGCCCCCTCACCTATAAACCTCTAGCCACCCCAGAGAACAGCTATGGCCTCCATCTTGTCCAGCCCCCATCTGTCACCTGACTCCTGTCACTGCCCCTGCTTCAAAGGGCTGTGTGGTTGCTTTAGCACCTCCAGCAGCTCAGCACTGCCCAGACTGGCTGGGGCAGGGGGCAGCAGCCCATTCTGCTTCCAGATGCATCTCACTGAAAATCCAACATTTTCTGTCATCCTCTCCCATTTATGTCTCTCATCCTGTCCAACTTTACCCAAGAACTCACTGTTTCTCCAAAAAGGTTTGGGAAAGAGGACAGATTAGCCTTCCCATTGGCCAGCTACTCGGCCACCCTTCCAGCTGTTCCTCTTTGCATCACGACGCCATGTGCTCAACACAGGCTCTGCATCAGGTTTGAAGCCTCCCTTTTGGGCAGCTGCAGCCTCTGGTCACTCTCTCTCTGCCCACCTCAGTCTTCTGTACAAACCTTAGGGACCCACTGGCAGGGATATGCTCTCATTCCTCTCTGTCAGGTTCTGTCTTGCTTCCTTCTCCTGACCTCCACCCATCAACAATTCCAGTCCAACCTCCGGATGAGTCTGCAAGTCACCCAACTGTGACCAAGGAACTTCTCTGAACAGTATTAAATGCCTTCACTGCTACTGACACTACCTTTACCCTGGTAAGCTGGTGCCTCCTCCTGAATTCAAACACCCCCCTACCATCTGTGCAGGAAACCTCAGCCAGAACCCTAAGGATTGTTCCTGATCCCTCCCTTTCCCATACCCTACCCCCCCAATCCTTTGACTCTACATCCTAAAGATCTTTATGTTAAGCATTAGTTGAATTGGATTCTTTTTTTTTTTAACAACTACTTTCCTTGATGAAGCCCACATCACTTGGACCAATGGAATTCTTTCTGGAGTGGTCACCTTCCTTTTGAATCATCTCTAAAAATTATTCCTTACAAAGCCATCGCAATTCTGACCACATTAACTTCACTGGTTGCACACGTCACAGGGATGAGCAATTAAGAATGAAACACTGGTTGTGTGACCTTGGGCAAGGCACTCTACTCCCCTATGCCTTCACGTCTTTTGTGGCAGAATGAGCACAACACAGCACCTATTTCAGAGGCCAGGTGTCTGGACTGAACAATCCATGCAAGTGCTTTGTATGGTGCCTGCAGCACAGCAAGCCTCAAACGATGCTACTGGGACTGATTATTCCCAACCTGTAATCCATGGAGGTCCATGGATGTGCTTCAGGGTGTCCATGAAGTCCCTGAAATTGTATGGAAAATTTGGTTTGCATGTTTATTTTTCTTGGGGTGGGGAGAGGGTCCAGATCTCTTATGAAAGACCTAAAATTTGAGCCCCTGATCCCAAGCCCTGAAAGCCACTCCAGGACAAAACGAGACATCCTGTTCCATTAGACTTCCTGTCTTTTTCCCTCTCCAGATCCTACTCTCAATTCCCCACCCCCCACCAAATTAGAGGCACAGCCACCCTTTGTGATAAGCTAGTCCTGCTACTACTCCTCTTCACCTACACCCCGGTCCCTGAGCAACCTAATCTGAGCAACCTAATCTTCTGCTATCCTCCATGTGAATGGAGATTCACATCCATGCATGGAGTATCCTCCATGGGCAGCTTTCATGTTCCCTGTTCACCAGAGAAGCAAAGAACCTTGTTGTACAGAACATTTCACTCCTGTCTTCAGGGGTGCTCTCCTGCTGCTTCCATCCCTTCACTTCACTGCTCTTCCCACAAGTTCCAGGCGGAAGTGAGGAGGGCCCCTCCAGTTTCCACCACAAAGCTCACCAGCTTCCCTTCCCAATTTTCTTCAATTTGAAACTGTTAAGAGGAAGAGCTGAAGGACCCACAGCTCACCTGGGGCCAGACTGTCAGAAGCATGGCTGCTATCACCTGCTCTCCCTCTCAGAGAAGGGCTGGAGCTGAGGAAAAAGAGAGAGGCAAGTGTGAGGCAAGCCCCATCCCAGGAGGAACAACACACCCCTTCACAGAAGATTTGAGACACAGGCAGCCGGTGTCCAGATAGGAGTCTAGTGGGAGCTGCCACAGGAAGAAGGGGTGATCTGTTCACTGGCTTGCTGCCCAGGACCCCTCCCAGCCATGACACTGATGCTCACTGCCCGGAACCCTAGGATTTCACAATTCTGACACACATAAAACGTTTCCAGAGCCTAAAGCATAATAAACCAAAGACCTACATAGCAACAATTCAGCTCAAGAGATAGATCATTACCAAGATCTTGGACTTACTTGTTTTTCTCTAAACAAGAATCATCCTTAATTACTCTGCAAGAGAAGCCAGGCTGGCAGAAGCCAGGCCAGCACAGAGGCCCGAGTCAGGCCCCATGGAGCTGGAGGAGACATTCCCCTACCTCCTGCCTGCTCCCTCACACAGCAGTGTCCTCTAGTGCCCTCTCTGTCTGTAGAGACCTTGGCAAGCCAGCCTCCCACACAGCCCAGGCTTACCTTTGAGGTCCCAGGCTGCCTCCTCATGTTCTCCAGCCCTCTGATAGTGCAGAAGCCAGGGCCTCAGCTCCCTGAGAGAAGGGATCACTAGATCATCTAGGGTCCCATGACCCAGCACCCCTTGTTCACTGTATTCAAAACACATGGACTGGTTATTTTTGGGTTTATACTGCTCCCAAAGTTAGTCCTGAAAACATGTGTTTTTCTGGGATGCCTGGGAGGCAAAGCAGTTGAGTGTCTGCCTTCAGCTCAGGTGGTGACCCCGGAGTCCCGGGATCAAGTCTCACATCAGGCTCCTCGCAGGGAGCCTGCATCTTCCTCTGCCTATGTCTCTGCCTCTCTCTGTGTGTCTCTCATGAATAAATAAAATCCTAAAAAAAAAAAAAGAAAAGAAAAAAGAAAATGTTTTCCTAAAATATCGATGTCTTCTAGGATTTCAACTTGAGTGCAGAGTTGTGAAAAACACTGGTTCATGATTCTTTCCAATTCCTCCGAATCTGGAGCTACTTTGCTTTTCCCACTTCTTTTGAATATATGTGTTTTCTAGACTCTTTCCCTTCTGTTAATATTATGGATGGAATGCGCCCCCCATTCATATGTTAAAATCCTATCCTCCAATATGACTACGTTTGGGATCTAGGACCTGTGAGGAGGTAATGAGGTAAACAAAGCCATAAGGCTGGTGCCCCCTTATAAAAGAGAGGAAGAGACACTAGAGTTCTTTTTTATCACATGAAGACAAAGTGAAAAGGCAGTCATCTGCAACCCAGGGAACCAAGAACCAAATTGTCTGGCACCTTTAAACTTGGGCTCCTCCAGAACTGTGAGAAATAAATTTCTGTTGGTTGAGGCATGCAGTCTATGGTATTCTGATCTGGTGGTCTGAGCAGACTCAAAGTTAAGTTGATTGTCTATTTGAATGTTGTTTTCTCTTATTTTTAAAGTGCAAATTTTTCTATTTATTTACAACACTACTCTTTTCTATTTCCTTGTGGTTCATTAAGTTCTGCTTTGTTTCTTTAGCTCTGTGAGAGCTATACCTCTGTGAGAAGTACACCTTCTGTTCCGCTCCAAATCCTCTGGTCTTAGTCCAGTGCCAGAGGCTTTGACCAGCTTTGCACCGGTACAATCTACCAAAGTGTCCTCAAGGATCTACCACATGGGGCTGGCTCCTGCCCTGGGGCTTCTCTGGTGTCCTGTATGGGACATCTGCTAGGTCTAAAAAGCAGAGAGGAGTTAATTAATGTGTGTGAGGCCACCTATGACCAACAAGAGACAGAGGTCAAGGGATAAAAATTTTCCCCTTTCAGTCTCCTACATGAAATTCCAAGGCTCCTCAAAGATCCTACAAGACTGAGCACTAGTCTTGCCTGTAGACAGGCCAGCTTGACAGTACAACCTCGTATTGGCTCTCCCTCCTGTTTCACTCCCCTTGTCTTTCACACTGCCCTTGGAATACATTCCCAAGTGCACTGCCAGCACATAAACCTCTGTCCTATGTTCTGCTTTTGGAGGAAGCTAGACTACAAAAGGCTTTTTTCTACCTTCATGAGGCTGCATGATTTATTCATTTATTTTCATTCTTTCCTACCTAGCAATTAAAATTTATAAGGCCGGGATCCCTGGGTGACTCAGCGGTTTAGCGCCTGCCTTTGGCCCGGGGCGCGATCCTGGAGTCCCGGGATCGAGTCCTGCGTCAGGCTCCCTGCATGGAGCCTGCTTCTCCCTCCTCCTGTGTCTCTGCGCCTCTCCCTCCCTCTCTCTCTCATAAATAAATAAATAAATAAATAAATAAATAAATAAATAAATAAATAAATAAATCTTAAAAAAATTTTATAAGGCCATAAATTTTCCCTCTGAATACACTATTAGCCACATGCCAGAGTTTTTAAAAAATATTTCATGTTTTAATGATATTAATTACATTTTGTAGCCTATCAACACCTGTGTTTTATCTCTGATCACAGAATTGTTTAGGATAGTTTGTTGATAATTTCTTCCCTGCTCATAATTTCTGGCTTTATTGCATGTGTTTAAATAGCCTGATCTATTTACCTCTGCTTTACAGATTTTTGAGGGCTTTTTTTTTTTTAAGCTAAAGTGTGAATGCTTACAAAAAAAACTTACTCTATGATAGAAGAACATATAATTCTATTTGAATCTAATAAATCAACTCTACTAATTTTATTACATAGATATTTCTCTGTAATCCATGACTACTTTTACCTAATTAAACTGAGCCAGCAAAGAGCAGACTCACACAAAACAGTGAGCCCACAGGTTATCATGAACAAATCTTTTCGAGTGTTTAAGACATGAGTAATTCTAATACTACTGAAACCGTAGGAGAAAACAGCAAAATAAGTTTCCCGGTCCTTTTCATGATGCCAGCACAACACTGATACAAAAACCACAGACCGGGATCCCTGGGTGGCGCAGCGGTTTGGCGCCTGCCTTTGGCCCAGGGCGCGATTCTGGAGACCCCGGATTGAATCCCACATCGGGCTCCCGGTGCATGGAGCCTGCTTCTCCCTCTGCCTATGTCTCTGCCTCTTTCTCTCTCTCTCTGTGTGACTATCATAAAATAAATAAAAATTAAAAAAAAAACACAGACCAGTCTCATTTATTAATACTGACAGAGAAATCACTAATATAAAGGAATAGACCCCAGTAGTTCATCAAAGTGACATACCATGACTAAAAAGGATCATCCTGTGAATGCAAGAAAGCTTCATATTAGGATACAGGTTAGTATAATTTTCCACGTGAATAAATCAAAGAAAGATAAACACACTGTCCACCCCAAGAGATGCCAAAGGCAGTTGATAAAATTCAATATTCATGCTTACATTTTAAAATTTATGCTGTAGAGAAACCCTCATATGTAGAAAATATGTACAAAATTATTAACAGTCTCTGAAGAGCAAAAAACTAGAAACAACCTACAAATACACTGAAAATACATAAATAGGCCTATCATTTTTTTAATTTTTATTTATTTATGATAATCACACACACACACAGAGAGAGAGAGAGAGAGAGAGAGAGAGGCAGAGACGCAGGCAGAGGGAGAAGCAGGCTCCATGCACTGGGAGCCCGACGTGGGACTCGATCCCGGGTCTCCAGGATCGCGCCCTGGGCCAAAGGCAGGTGCTAAACCGCTGCGCCACCCAGGGATCCCAGGCCTATCATTTTTTAAAAGATTATTTATTCATGAGAGACACAGAGAGAGGCAAATATAAATATGAATGTTTAATAAATAATATATTTATATGTATTTCATGTTTTCATTACTATTTTGTGATTTTAGTGTATAGTATAGTATAATTTACTATAATATAGTAAATTACTATTATAGTATAATATACTATAGTAGAGTTTAGTATAATTTTCGTGATGGTATTGAACGAGCAATTCCGGAACTATTTTACGTGTATTCCAGGATCGAGCAAACCACCGATTACAATGTTGAAATCATCCCCGGGTCACCGTCACCCCACCGGCCCGAGCCGAGGGCCAAGTTACCTTTGAACTGCCCGCTCCAGACACAGTGCCCTCCAGAAGCCGGGCTGCTTCTGCTCCGGGTGACTGGGCTGGGCTCTGCTGGTTCTGCGCTCCCACTGAGCCTGTCACGAGTCGGGAAACACAGTCCGGACTAGAAATGCCTGTAGGTAGGAGCCCCGCACCACGTCGACAGGTCAAACGACTCCGCGCCACAATGCGCTTCACCCCTAATATTCCACCCCTGGCTGCTCCACACATCCCCGAACAGACGCGGCGCGGGGCTCGGCGGCTGGGACAGCAATCCACGCCTCGCCTCCCACGCGAGGGAACGTATTCGGTCATCAAGCCCGAGGCGGGCACACGGGACAGACACGGACCCCCGCCCTCCCCGGCCCCCGAAGCCGGAGCGGCATCCCCACCGCAGCCACGGCCGCCCGCCAGGGCACCGCCCCCGCCCCGGGCAGCCCCGCACTCACCTCCGCCGCCCGCCGCGCCGCGGCGCAGCCGGAAGTGCGTCACCGGCCCCGGCGGAGCCTCTCTAGCAGCCGCGGTGCTCCCGCTCGGTGGTGCTCTGGCTGCGCCCCTGAGGCCCTGAGGTATCTGTGACCCCACCGCAGTGCCCCGCGGCCCTCTCCTGGGGGTCACGGCTGCAGGCCCGTTGTTCCTGGAGGTGGGCTGGGGAAGCGTCAGGCGGGAGCGCTGGATTCACCCCCGCTGGTCCATACTTCAGGAATTAGAGTTTCGGGCCTGGGCTTGTGGATCTCAGACCTAAGGCAACCTTTTGTGACAAGTAATTCCCCAGTGAACGCTTTACTCTCTTGCCATGAAACTCATAGATCCGGACTTAGAAGATTATAGGTAATATAAACAACCAACACTTTAAAAACTGTTGAATGGGTAAAGAAGTTGTGAGACAGGTAGATGTATGAATGGAGTATTACTCAGCCATCAAAAAGAATGAAATCCCATCAAAAAGAATGAAATCTTGCCATTTGCCATGACCCGGATGGTACTAAATGAAATAAGTCAGAGAAAGACAAATAACCATATGATCTCACATGTGGAATTTAAGAAACAAAACGGATGAACATTGGGGATAAAAAGAGAGAGGGAGAGGCAAACCATAAAACAAACTTTTTAAAAAAAATTTATTTATTCATGAGAGACACAGAGATAGGGAGAGACACAGGCAGAGGGAGAAGCAGGCTCCCCATGAGGAGCCTGATATGGCACCGGATCCTGGGACCCCAAGATCACGCCCTGAGCCAAAGGCAGACGCTCAACCGCTGAGCCACCGAGGCCTTCCCATAAAACAAACTCTTAAGGGTAGAGAACAAACAGGGTTGATGGAGGGAGGTGGGGGGATGGGCTAGATGGGGGATGGCATTAAGGAGGGCACTTGCTGTGATTAGCACTGGGCGTTGTAAGTGATGAATTGCTAAATTCTACTCCTGAAACTAATGTTACACTGTATGTTAACTAGAATTCAAATAAAAACTTGAAAGTTAAAAAAAAAAAACACCTTAACAGTCTGCTTTAATAGAGGAGATATCAAAGGAAAATAATTTGCAAAAATACACATTTCAGCATGTATACGTCCGGTCATGACTGCTATGGACCTAATGAAGTCGTCAGATATTTGCCTTCTCACATGGAATGTGCCTGAATGCCACAGCCACAATGCTGTCTTTTATTGATGTTTCAAAAATCACAAACTGTAATCAAAATGGTGAACACTTCTTGGTAAGGTAAAAGTGAAACAGTAAAACCTTCTTTTGGTTTTACAGTAGTTACGTTCCTGAAGAATCAGCTATGTTAAAACTGTAAAAATTCATTTAGCTAAAAGACAGGTTCTAGATTCAGGTCATTTAGAAACAGTTTTTACAGGGGGATCCCTGGGTGGCTCCGCGGTTTAGCACCTGCCTTTGGCCCAGGGCGCAACCCTGGAGTCCGGGGATCGAGTCCCGCGTCAGGCTCCCAGTATGGAGCCTGCTTCACCCTCTGCCTGTGTCTCTGCCTCTATGTCTATGAATAAATAAAAAAGAAACAGTTTTTACCTACATGAATGTCCAGAAAGACCTGAAAGTCTGTTTCCAAATAGGCAGAACCCTTCAATGCCTTTTAGGATTCGTGGCACTCCTGGCTCCCATCTAACACCACCAAACACTAACAAAAACACTCCTATAAAATTTCAAATTGAGCCAAGGCAGAAGGGAAACCACTAGAAGCCCCTGGATTAGATTATCCTTGTTCCCTCCCAAGATAGTGCCTATCTTCTAGCTACGATGCCTCCAAAGTTACAGCACTGGAAAGTGGTTGGTGGGCTGCCCTACCTGGCTCTCCAGCCTCGGACCACCCTCATGCCTCCTCCTCTCTCAACTTCATCCCGCTTGCTGAACATACTATTCTCTCAACCTAGGATGCCTTTCCCTTCCCATCCCCACCCTCCATCTTGACTATTTCTTGAAGTCTAGGTTCAAATCCCATTTTCCTTGGAAAACAAGCTTTTTCTGACCACCTAGAATAAGGCAGGCCCCCCAGGTACATGCCATCACAGCACTCTATTTCTCAGTACTTGGCACATCTGCGCTTATTTAATGACGACAGTTTAAGTGTCTGTCTTCTCTGCTCCCTCTAGAAAGCAAGGACTGTATCTATCTTGTTCAACACCATCATCCTCAGCTAAAGCACAAGGCCCAGCACAAAGGAGGCATGCAACAAATATCTCGTGTTGACATGATCCTAAGACTCCAATCCCAGCTCGAGAGTAGAACCCTTCTTTATGTCTGTGCCACTGGAAATAGGATATATCTTCTGCCTGGAATCACAACACTGACCACTGTCAGGAGCACTTGACCTGTTTTGCCTTGACCCTGATCATCACTATTTCCTAAATTGAGCACTTTACACAGCTTCTCTTGTTCAGATAGGAAACTGATCCCAGGATTTGGCAGTGATAGCTCGGGATGTTGTACTTGGCAATGTTTTTTTTTTTTTTTTTCCTTTAGCAGAACTTTAGACAGGGCTGAGGGCTTGTCTAAAGAAATAGGAAGGAATTAGGAGACCAGAGTGTCACAGAAATGCCGGACCCAAATGTTGGATCATAAACCAGTCACTAATTTTACAGGTAAGAAAATAAGGCCTCCTAAATAACATGAAACTCTTAGGACACGCACAGGCCAAGTTACAAAAGGCCTGCAGAAGCCAAGACCATCTCTGTTCTTCCCTTATATATTAACAGAATCTCTAGCAAGCCAAAGACAGTCCAGAAAAAATGACACATTTCCTGCTCCTCTTTAAATTTTTTTAAAAAGATTTGAGAGAGTGAGCAGCAGGGGAGGGAGAAGCAGACTCCCCACTGAGCAGGGAGCCCAACACAGGGCTCCAACCCAGGACTCTGGGATCATGACCTGAGCCAAAGGCAGCTGCTTAACCAACTGAGCCACCCAGGCAGCCCTAGTATGGTTTTCATGTATAATACATCTGGCCCTCTTTAAAGCAAAGTGTGATTATGTGACCAGCTTCTGGCAAACGGGCTGTAAGAAAAAGTGATGCCATACCTTTACGAGAAGGAACATGCCCTTCCAGGCCCAGTATCCCCATCAGCTAGGTGGAGTGCTGACAACAGGGTGAGTATCTTAAACCATGTGAATGAGGGTGTGGTCCCTGGGTAATGACAGAGCAGCTAGGAGATACCATAGAGCTGCTGTACCAGACCTGGACTGCTACCTTCAGATGATATACAAATAAATATGCATTAATCACGTATAACCACACTGATGTGGGTTCTTCAAACCCATACCCAAGATCATAGCCTTATGGAATACCTCTAGGAATGAGGGACGATGGAAAAATCACATGCACATACTTAAAAATTTAGGATGGTTCTCATATTTCACTGCTCTGGAAGTTCATCTCTATGCTGGGCCTGCAGCCAAGTGTCCTGCTCAGCTCTAAGTGCCCTCTGGCCCTGCAGTCCCAGAGCCTCCCTAAAACCCTTTCTCCCTGCCCACCAGGAGAAAATGACAAATCTCCAATAATATGTTTTTGGTGTTTCCAGTTTTAAGATGACATAGTAAAGGTCGTTCTGCCTGCTTCTCCTCTTGAAAAGTATGAGAAGACAACAAAAGTCTGTTTGGGGTTCATTCCAAGAATTCAAATAGGTTTCAATATTATAAAAGTTTCCTTTACTTATGGACATTATGAATGGAATTATTATATCACTCTATTATGTGTAGAAATAGGGCAGGGAGAGGTCTTACTCACAAAAACAACAAAGCAACCAAACAAGTTAATACATTTATTAATAAATGTTTAAGACATATATGAAGAAAAAAATACTCGGGGACTACACCACCATCACCTCTGCCACCATCAATAAGTTGTATATAGGGGATCCCTGGGTGGCGCAGCGGTTTGGCGCCTGCCTTTGGCCCAGGGCGCGATCCTGGAGACCCGGGATCGAATCCCACATCGGGCTCCCTGCATGGAGCCTGCTTCTCCCTCTGCCTGTGTCTCTGCCTCTCTCTCTCTCTCTCTGTGACTATCATAAATAAATAAAAATTTAAAAAAAAAATTAAAAAAAAAATAAGAAGTTGTATATAGAAAGGCACAGGTAATTTTTCAGAGAAAGGACATTCATCTTGATTTAATCTTTAAGACCAATTTCAAACAATTTTGGGGAAAAAAAAGAATAAAGTGGGAGGAACTGCCGTACCCAAATAAAACCACAACAGATTTGTTTTGTTTTAAAGATTTTATTTATTCATGAGAGACACAGAGAGAGGCAGAGATAGGAGAAGCAGGCTCCATGCAAGGAGCCCAATACGGAACTCAATCCTAGGACCCCCGGGATCATGCCCTGAGCTGAAGGCAGACGCTCAACCACTGAGCCACCCAGGCATCCCAATAACAGGATTTGTTTTGGAACTCGTGAAAGGATTCTAACGTTCATCTAGGGGAAAAATGTTATATATTTATAAGGTACTACCAAAACATAAAAATGCAAAAGGATTGAAAAGTTAAAGAATGGATATACCAGACAAGTGTTAAGCTAAAGGAATAATAGCATTAACTATATTACCATAGCAATGATTTTGAGACCAAAAATATCTCTAGGCAGTGTTTCATTTAAGGCAATTTAGTGAATGATATAAACTAGTTATCTAGAAATTTAGGATAAGATATAATTTAAAACATTGTTTTAGCTCACAGGAAAATATACCCAGGTACCAAAACTGAACAAGAAACTAAAACCAGAGTTTAGCTGCCCTCACTGCTTTGGCCAACACGACCAGAAATAGTAGAAATTTGAAGATCTTGATATCTGCAGAGGTTGAATTAGAATATTCAGGAAGCCACATGACACAAGGAGGAACTGGGGCTACACACACACACACACCACAACCAACCAAATGCCTGGACTCATGAAAGTAAAAATTAGAAAAAAAAAAAAATCTTCCCACTAGCAAAGAGAGATAACAAAGGTTATAGTCCTTGCCTATGTTTTGGAGTGATAGTGGGGATGTCCCCTAAGAATTTATAATCATAAAAAGAATTTATAATCATAGCCTGTATTACTGCGCAGTTTATTTTAAAATTACTTATATATTTATTTTTTAGATTTCATTTATTTATTCATGAGAGATGTTACCTTTGGAGAAAACTGGGTTTTGTATCTTCAGGTCACGTAAAAATGCAATATAGATGGTGGGCAGGAAATGAAAAAGAAACAAACAGGTAAGTTCATTACGTGTTACCAAGTGCACTAACTTAACA